ATGCAGAAAAACGGTGAATCTCACTACGGGGTGCGTTTTAACCCCCCCCCCCCTCCCCCGGTGTGCTGCGCGCTCGCGGGCACTCAAGAGTGATCGCGCGTTAAATGCGCCGCCGGGCGTACGCGGTCGCGTGTCGTGCGCGTGCCCTCTTATCGGGGGGAAGGGGTGCCCACTCTCGAAACGACGTACGCGATGGACACCTACGAAAGAGAGACGGGGCACGCGGCCCCACGTGCGTGTACGTGTGCGTGCGAGCTGCGGAACGAACGTACGCGTCATAGTCGTACCTCCTGGGCCTCCTATATACGCCCGCACGACGGAGATATCACCGGCCGTGGCGTGAATCACGGTTATAAACAGCAAATGACTCCTGTCGATGTACCCGCACATGCACGCTGGCCACTTTCAGTCTTCGACAATCATCGCCATCGCTCTTCATCAATCGCGTTTAACGTTTTTTTTTCCATGAACTGAACCTTGTTGATACGGGATATACTTCAATTTCGTAGCGAATTTCATAATCGGTATCAAAATGGTCGGTGCGTTACTTGCTTTTATTCATTTAATTCTCATTTATCTACTTCAATTAAAAATAATAATGGTAAATATATTAATTTAATTATTTCACGACCGCGTTAATAAATGCAATTAGTTTCGATTGTCTTAAATTTATTTCAATATGTCACATATATAAATAGCCTGTCCTCCGTTGAATTTTAATTTATCAGATATATCAGAGAATTTCATTATGGCCCGAATTGAATTGACTAATAAAGATAATCATCATAAAATTTTGAAAATTGCATATATGTAAGAAAAACAGAATTGTATAAAAGATAAGGTAATTCGAGGGAAGATGCCATAAGAGGGAAGACGCCACTTTATTTATTGTTTTTTCATAGAACGCGCATTGACCATATTGACTGTGCAGAAACGCGTGGCAAACAGGGTGATATTTCATTTGTGCGTTTTTGTCGTACGACAAATTTTTCAAGTCTGTTGATTGGTTATGGAATAGAGAGATCCGAGGACCTCTCTGTTCTGTACACATTTGTCGTACGACAAAAATGCACAAATGAAATAGCACCCTTGTACAGTTATCGGCTTAGATAATCATGTTCATGCCAATGTCGAAATTAGAAAATTATTTTATAATATTTTGAGTCAAAAAATAGTTAGCAATTTCTTTCTATAAATAAAAAATTAGCAGAATCTATTAATATGTGCAAAGTAATCGCGGTTTTCTTGTGATTTTACATTATTGCTTATTCGTCACGTACAGGTACAAATCTCTTTTTTTATCAATTTTGATGCTAAAGATCTCGTCAAGAACAAATCAGCAGTATAAAATCACAGTAATAGGAAAAACAATTATATTTATATTCCTAATATAAATCATATTTTATTATAGAAAATTAATTTTTAATTATTTAGGCATACATCGAATTATTTATTCAATTGCAATTATATGACATGTTATGAACACGTTAATGAAATTATTAAAAATATTTTTTATGACTTTAGCATGCCATCTTAATTATTACAATTTTTGAAATGAAAAAATTAAAAATAACTTATATCTTTCACTCGACGCTTTTTATGCAAAATGTGTATCTACATGCACGCAAAAATTTAAGCATGCAATAAATTACACTAATTTTCAAAATGTGATTTCGGCGGAAAAAACCATCACTTATATTTTAAATTCTACTCACTCATATCGTCAATTCAGGACCAACCACATGTCACATTTGGATCTATACAAGTACAAAATTTTGAATTAAAATAGAGAATATTTAATTATGTTTATACAAACTAATTATTAAAATTAATTACGATAGCAAAGAAAATGTATATATGTTATAAAAAAAATTAACTTTATATATAAAGTATTTTTTTTTATATGTAGAATATTTTATATTAAATTTACATAATTATCTACTAATTCCAAAAGAGGACATATTAAAATAATTAAATTTTAACTGTGAATTATGAAAATAAACACAAAACTTACTTTTGAACCAGTCCTGCTTGGCCTGAACCGGATCCTCCAATGCTGCATCTGCATCCGTCCAATTTCACGAGAGAGTCAAGCTTCCTCTCTTTATTTTAACACTTGGTACCTGTAAAATATTTATAATAAAAGATAGCTTCTAAATACTTCTTTTGCGTTTAAAAAATCTGGTTTTATGTAGAAGTATATTTACATTAATGTATAAATAAATACTATAAATTTTAAGAAATAAAATTCTCATACACATAAATGTTTGTAAAAGATATTAAGTACTTTTTCTACGAAAAAACGATATAGAGCTATTATATTATATTAAGTTATTAGTCCTAATATCTTTCAATTAGTCAATTATAACTTTCATATTATACATTAATATTATCCTCTTTACATTACGCCGAATAATACAAAGGTACGATGTATTATAACGAAATACTATAAGGAAACAGAATTGTTACGAATAGGTCGCAACATACTTTCAGTTGAAAAATCGTTTTACGTATGTCAGTGCGTGAAATATATTGATATTATGTGGCACGTATTATGCATGCTTGTTGGCGAGAGCGATATATACATATATATATATTATTATATATTGTATATACAAAAATTTCATCAAAGGATAATTTTATTAATTTTGTGAAGGTATAAATATTTTAATTGATTTCAATTATTTAATTTATAGAAAAATATTAATCATGATAAATTAGAGGAATAGTTAAATAACAGTAAAACAAGTATTCTTTTATCGAAATCTGTACTATTATCCAATCAGGATATATAAAACTTGTATCGACTAAATAGAGAAACTTGGATTGAAAATACTCTGTGTACATAAAGTTGCAAATTACACTACGTTAATGCCGGATGCGGATAACAGAAAACAGAATGGTTCACATGCATTTGTATGCTGCGCCATAAAGTTTCTTCGTCATTAGAATAATAATAATGATAAATAGTTAATTAATTAAGACAGTCTCATATTTTCGTGGAATAAAGCAGATTTTATGCAAATGACGTACAACGTTGCTACGCTCCAGGCGTAAAAGGCATAATTACAACGAAAATGTAAATTTCTCATTAATAACGAGGTCGCCGTGTAATTCCGAAATGACCAGGGCACACGTTCCTATAATTATTATAATTTGATAATGATATAATCATGCGTAGTTGAATAGCCTCCATTGACAAGCGGCAGCTGCGTCTATCGATTATTCGCGAGGACATAGCACGTCAAAATATAATTCCACAGAAATTCATAGAGAGAAGGAAGGAAAAAGAAACAATATTCGTAAAAATGACGGTTTGAGAGAATTGAGAGAAATGTCGAGACCGTGATTTTATTTTAGTTTCCATTTTTCTACTTTTTCAAAAAGTGCAGACAATTTATAACAAAATTATTCGCACGGAAAACTTTATCGATAAATTCAAAAGTTTCCAAAACTTGGAGATGTGGAAAAATTCTGATGTTCCTGGGCGGTCAGCTAGAAAGCCAATGATGATAGTAAAATAGTTTTAATTGAAATATAGAAAGTTCATCCATATCGATCAATAACGGTATTTCGATTCACAAAAACAAATAGGCAGTATTTGGGAAGAAAGTAGCAAATGTTAGAAATATTTCACTGTTTTGAGGAACCCAATAAGAATAATTCTTCTCTCTAAAAATTAATTACTTAATTGGAGAAGAATTTATATGCATTGATTTTAAACATAAAAATTTTAAAAATTGCATCCAAATTAAGAGAAAAATTACATTTAGTTTTATTATCGTATAAAAAAATGTGAGTGAGGACGATATTAATGAGTTTCTCATTCAAAAAATATCTTTCCTCTGCTTTAAGAAAAAATAAAAAAGTCTGGAGCATTGAAAAATGTTTAAATGAAAAAAAAACGATAGAAACAACAGCTATTCAAAGTGATATAAAAGCTACTTGATTAAAAAAATGTTTCAGCAATATTCTAATTGATATTTCATTTCAAGACTTTCAATAGTGCTTCTAAACTTTGGAAACACCACTCGTAAAAAGAAGATATAATATTCATTTGAACAAATAAGCTGCGTTTGAATTTAAACAAGTTTTATCTTGATTGTCGATCTTGTCAGACTACGAATTATATTGTAAATTGTTTCTGAAAGAGAAAAGAGTAATATGTTAAAGTAATATAATTCAGTCTTTAATGGATCAATAGTCTCGCTAAAAACAGACAGTTCGTTCAAAAACACGTCAGACTGAGCAGAGACTCTTATTTCTGTGTCCCAGTCGTCCCATCATCGGGACAGCTCTCGCCGGCGCGGCGCGGCGACACGCCGGCGTAGGAGAGCGCGGTTCTCGCGAGAGCGCGTGTTACCGCAGAGGGTTTGTTCCCGGAAGGGAACCGGTGGCACGTCGTTACCGGGGCAAACTACGTCGTCGACAAGCGCCGGTCGGTAAGTGCAGGAGGTCCGGTGCACATCGGCCGCGTGCTCCCGGTCGACCGTCCATCCCCGGTCGCCGCCTCCGTCCCCCGCAGGCCCGGCCCTCGTACCTCGGCGCGGAACCAACCCCTATGCGACCTCGGCGCCCTTCGGGGGCGGAGACCTCGCCCGCTGGCCCTCGTCGATCGGGCGCGTCTTGTCTGCCCCCGGCGACGTCGTCGTCCGTCTCGCGCGAGCCGGCAGTGTCGCTCGGAGCGGGTCGGCAAGATGATCGGTGCCCTTATTGGCGCGCAGTCCACGTACAGTACGCTCGTGCAGACGACGACCATCGGTGAAACGAGAGTAATAACACGCGGCGCTATCCACCTCGCCTTCGTCCGAGGGTGAGACGTTCGCTGAGACATCATTGCTGATATGACCACGTTTCTGACCTCCTCGTCGTCGCGCCTCGTGCCGCAGCAGCTAATCTGCAAGTCGACGGTGCCGCGATAAAAGCGGCAGCTGACTCGCGTAAAAACACCCGCCGTACCGCAGGGGAAAGCAGTTGAAAAGCGCGCGTCGTGGCGCGGGTATACCGCATCGCGCGATGCTGGACCTCAAGAGCAGCGGTACCACCGCGGCGGAGCTACCACGCACCACGGCGTTCACCAATCTATCGATGCTGTTCGCCGGTATGTTCGACGTCCCGCTCTGTGCCCCATCCACGCTTCTGTGCGCGCAGAAATCGTTTTAAGCGTGCCAGATGTTCGGTAGTGTGGTGATAAATCGCGGTCCCACGCTCTCTATACCTACCACGCACGTGTCCACCTGCATCCGAATTCCGTGCTCAAAACGCCGTGTCCGTCGCGAGCTACACCCTGTGTCCCACGCGCGAGTGCTTTTAAAAATCTTTTCGTGCTACAATGAATATAATAGCTTGCGATTTTATAATTAATATATCATAAATATGTCTTTTTATGCGTAAAATATCGCGCATGTTCGTGATTATTTATATTATGTTATTTCATTACTTTAAATCAAATACATAAAATAAGTGAATTTACTTTTAGAAGCAGATACAAGTCTAATGGGGATCTGGTAGCACGTAATCTTTTGCGCGTTTCGTGTTTGATAGAAAATGCGTATATTTTTAAACGCATTTATCCGCCATAAATGTAGCATTTAATCTTATTAAAATAAAATTAAATATTTTGAACGAAATTGTTTACTATATTGCCAAGAAGTAATTAAAAAATTCAATGAATATTCATTGTAAGCGTTTCTAAAGTTTCTATTTCATTGTCTCGCAAAACTATTGTTGATTTTCGTTCATTATCTATTTAGACTAGAATATTTGTATTGAATCCTTTAGAGCAGTTAATTATTTAATTGTTAAAACATTAAGCTATGTGCAATAGACGTTGATAATTATAATAGCGCAAAAGTGATTGTTAGTGACCACGTGACTCATAAAAGTGATAGAAAAAAGCAAACGTTAGCTGATTAATTAACATCTCGTAAGATCAGCATCTTAGCTCACGTATAATTTCACGTTAATTGACTCGTAGCCCTTCTTTTATTTATTGATTTATTCTGATTGAGCCATATTAATAATTTATTAATTTCACGTAACTTTCGACGTATTGATAATTCGGAATTAAGTTTATATTTTTTTTCTATTTGCTTCATCAAATTTTTGTTATCTTTGAATCATGTGTTATCAGTCTCTGTCGAAGACTAACTTGAAATCCATGAAGTACAAACAAAACGAAAATATATATTTTACTTTTGCCATCGTTGAGTTTTATTGAGCTTATTTATTATATTAATGCTATTTGCAATAAATACATTAATAGAAAATTTGGGAAAACTTGAAATAAAAAGTGACAAATTCTAAAATAAAGCTGTAAATAAATTTTTAAATAACACATGCGTTATATTATATAATATTGTCTTAATAAATAGTATAATTAATAATAAATAATGATGAATAATATAATTAATAAAAGATATATCTTAATTTATTGTATATGCAACGTTATATAATTACTCTGTCAAAGTGTTTATTGCAAATAGTATTGGTATCCAAGCATTTCGGTAATCCGTCGGAATTCTCACTTTTTAAAAGCTGTCTATATTCCTCTTGAAAGAGGAAGAGTTCATGAGGATTTTGCGATGTAGTTCGTAATCTTACAACACTGTTTCGCAAGAAACCCCAAGAAAATCCAGCGCGTATTACCGAACGATTGGCGCACCCCTTAGCACTTGAGAAACGTGAAATCCGAGGATCCATTAATGGACTCCGGGGTCTCCAGATCAAATGAAGGGGGCAGTAAAGACGAAAGATCGAGCGGTGGTGAGCGCGCGGGTAGCTCGTTTTGTTTGCTCGGAAAGTCGGAGTTTCTGCCGCGCGGTGTGTGACGTACCTACGTATGTACACACAAGGGCCGACCCTTTGTGCCAATAACTGCGAAATGAAAATATATCTGTTCGCAAACATGCCACCGACGGCGACGGTGACGCGTACGCTCGCTCGGCGCCGGGAGCTCTCGAGAGAAGCTCGCTCTTGCGTGGCGAATATAACATCGCCGTCGCTTCGCGAGCAACAACTAAGCGCACGTGTTACAAATAATTCCATATTTGTTTAACGAACGCCTTTTTTTGCTCGGATATTATTCGACCAAGCAAACCGTTAAATCGGCGCGCGATCGTTGATCAGGTAGATCTAGAAAAGAGGAAATTTAGGCAGAAACATTTTTAAGAACAAAAGAAGGAAGTTGGTGTGTGTGTGTGTGTTACAATTGCAAGATTAATTATGAAATGACTAGAAGAATGTGTAATAACAAAAATGACTTATGAATTATGTAAAGAGTATTACTAATTATATAGAAAATGCTGATTTAGTTTTACCGTTACACAAAAAGAATAGTTTTGCTGAAATATCTAAAAATTTAGGTAGATAATTAGAAAATAATTTCATTGAACCATCAAAATAATTATGTAAAACGCTAAAATGTTGATGCAAAAAGTTTTAACATTCTAGCAACATAATTATTTTGGTCCGAACGAAATTATTTTTAGATGTGTATCTAGCTAAATTTTTAGATACTTCAGCAAAACCGTTCTTTCCGTGTATATACTGGGCTTTGTGTCTAAAAGATTAGACACGATAATGTTGAAAAATGAAAATTTATTTTCAACGTCTTTCTTATATTGTATGATAGTTACATGTGTGTGTGTGTGTGTGTCTTAGATATTTCTTATAAATAATTCAACTCGTTAAAATTGTTTCATCTTTGATTCTTGTAACTACAAAATTATTATGATGCATAAAAACGAGTAGCTCTTCTAATTTTAACGTCTAGCCTAATATCTCAGAAATTAGGTTTTATGATTGATACAATTTGTATATCTTCTCATGTTTTTCTGCACAAAAAGAATGGTTTTGCTAAAATATCTAAAAACTTAGCAAGACACAGATCTGAAAATAATTTGGTTAGTCCATCATAATAATTGTGTAAGGCCAGAATCAGATTACGCATTGAAGATTGAGATTGAAGATTAAAAGATGAAATTTGACCAATAAAAATAATAGGAACTAAAATTCCTTTGCCCTCATTGGTCAAATTTCAATCTACAATCTTCGATCTCAATCTTCAATGCGTAGTTTGATTCCGGCCTAAGACACTGTAAGAGATTTAAAATGGTTGCTATAATGTCAAAACTTCTTGCAACATTGCTTATTATGCTTGAATCTTCTACGTAATTGTTTTGATGGTTCAATAAAATTTTTTTTTCAGATCTGTATCTAAATTTTTAGATATTCAGCAAAATCATTCTTTCCATGTAACATATAGTATGTATTTTATAAATGATTAAAACAATTGAAATATTTTAATGTAGTCTGCACTTTAAGCGTAAATAACTCAACTACATTTTTCGTTATTATATATAAATTTACGTATCGCGAGAATCGATTTCAAAGACGATATATACTTCTGCAACACATGTATAAATTCTCTCGCGTACATTTTGCATCACTCTCACGCAGAAACGATCAGAGTCGTTAAAATATCGTAAAGATTTCGCGAAGCAGAAGAAACGTGTTTTTCCCCATCGAAGTCGCCACGATAGCTCGGAGCACTTTCAATCAGATATACTTTACGGCTTCTCGTGATTCCTCGAACCGATTAACCGGTAATTGCGGACGATATATTCGCCCGTGCTACTGACGTGACCTCAAAAAATGTAATCGCAATCCGGGTAAATCATGAAATATCTGCGCGGGTCGATAAGCCGTAGATTTCCAACGCGCGTCGAAGCAAATCGAGAACTTTGCACTGCGAATAAAAAGAAATGATTGAAAAATATTTCTCCTGCTTTCAGATGCTAGCAGCTCTTATAAGGGAGGTTGGAGCCACGCCACGTCGCCGGCACCTGGTCAGGGTGAGTCTCACCTGAGTTTATTTACGAAGGTGCTTAGCAATATTAAGAGGAGGATATATAAAGACAAAATTGTACTTATACGGAAATCATTCTGCGCGGAGAATATAAATATAAAATGGTATTTTAATAACAAGAGAACATTTAGCATGTTTAATTCAGATAGTAGATTCAGATTTAATTTATTAATTTATAGAATACTTACTAGGAAATATAGTTAAACAATCTTGAAAATATAATTCCACCTCTTACTATTTGCAATTATAGAAAACACCTTGATGTTATTAATATTAATTAATAACTATTTTCATCATTGTATCTCTTACATTTTTTTAAAACAAATCACAAAGACAAAATTTTCATTCATACAAACCAGGGCAAAGACTATGTTTTTTTTTTTAGAATAAATCATGTTTCTTCTTAAATATGTTTTTAATGTTTTAAATGTGCTTTAAACAGCATTATAAAAACACATGTTTAAAACATATTAAAAATATCAATTAAGCATGTTTTAAACTGTTTAAAACATGTTTAAAACATTTTTTTTACCAACTCTAATACAAACGCACTTCAACGTGAATATGAGAATAATTTATATGTACAGTATACAGTATACATAAATACAGTATACATACAAAAATATTTGTCATATTAATACATAAAAAGGTTTTGCTGAAATATCTAAAGATTTAGCTAGATACAGAAAATACACAATAATTATGTAGGCCCTTCTACATAATTATATTGGATGCTCAAGCTGGTTGCTAGAACATCACTTTTTGTTGTATTATCGTCGATGTCTATACATTATACATAATTATTTTGGTTAATTATTTCCAGATCTATATTTGGCCTAATTTTTATACTTCGGCAAAACGTTCTTTCCGAAAGCCAAAGCATTAGCTTTGATTTTGTAGTAGGTGAAGATCACAATTAGATTACGTAGCCCTATTTTGACCCTAATCACCACTGACAATCAACAACTGGACATAACTCTTTTATATTTCTTCGATTTCCGTTGTATCAATGTCAAACATCGGGATGGTTTTCTAAAATTTCGCGACCTGCATGCCCTCTTCTTGTCATTGTCCTCGCAAAACTCCTCCTATCTGAAAGGGGGAGGTTTTCTTTTTCCTCGTTTTCGGTTCGCTAGACGCTACGTATACCTAAAGGGTGGGTCGCGGCGCCGCTGGGTGCAAGTTCACGCGTCGCGACGCTCCGACTTGTTCGAGCAAGCTTTGTGCGTGCAGACGCGTAGAGGATGCGAGAATGTGGGTGTTGGTGTGTATGTAGGTGGCGTCCCGGGTGCTTTGTGGCGCGTTGAACCGCGGCCCCTTTGTCGTCGACGGAGAGCGAGCGAGCGAGCGGAGGAGAGAGAGGGTGAGGAAGGGTGGCAGAGAGCAAGCCCCGGGGGCTGTGTAGAGACGCCTGCCCGCACGGTGGTAACGCCGAAGAGCAGGCCCCACCCTGTGTGGACGCCAACACCAACGCTGGCACAATCATCTCGCAGAGATCACAGAGACCTGCCCGCAGGCATCTTTGTTATAAACGGCTTCTGGGCGCCACCAACCAGGTTACAACAGCCCGGGCGCTGTTCGAGATCACCTCCGTGGGGCGAGAGAATGTAAAAGTCTCGTCTTTAAACGCGCGTAAACCCGTTGACGCCATCAATGTCCACTTCGTCCTTGTATTCAGGATCGTATTCACGACTCGCGCAGTCTGCCATGTCACACCTTAGCACCGAGGCTTTAAGCATAATTTAACACAATGTACGATGTGACGAATATGCGGCAGACCACATACAGACTCCAGACGATTTTGCATTATAATTTTGAGAAGAATAGTGTGCAAAAGTGATGTCCTACGACTTGTAAAATTGAAGATTGTAGTTCTATACGAAGTATAAGTTCTATACAAATAAAACGTATCGGACCCGCGTCGCTTATTAGGGAATTTTTGCAATAACGTGGATCCAGATACAGTGAACGCTACGAAGAAGAAGATAACCTGACTTTAGCTTTCACCGTATCTGGATAAACGATATTGCAAAAACTCCCTATCATTTCTTCATAAATTAGCTCCAATTTACCGTAAAACGTTACTTTTACTGGTACTATTATAACTGTATAAGAGAATAGCGCAGAAATTTTGTTCTTTGGACTTTATTTTGAAGCACTTTATCATAATTCGAATAAATTATTTGAAGAAATGTGGAATTGGCAACGAAGTTTCGTTATCCCGTTAGAATTGTGCTAATTAATAGGATTCTATTAATTAGATTCTTTTTAGAGAAGACTTCTCGGAAGGCAGACTTTGGATCGACCTTTTTTCGCATTGCACTGGAAGTTTAATTTTCAGGTATTTCTCGCGATGACGCACACATAAGTCGCTTTACGAGCACGGTGTGGACCCGGGGGCATTTTCGAATAGTATGCTCCAGCACCGTTCTCTGATCTTGACAGGCGCAGGGTCGCCTTTGACTCGGTTTGCACTTTGCGCCTCGACGCGAAAGGGAACGACATCGTCGTCATCGCCGAGATTCATGAAATTACATGACGTGACGTGTGTTGACCCGAGGGCACTTTGTGGTCTTCCGGACCGCGTGAAATTGAAATTACAAGCTTGTCTCCTCGCATATAGCGGCCCGACTTCAGGTTATCGCGCGTTACTTTCGAGATTCGTTAGATAATTACCGTGTAAAGGATAAGACTAGAAGAAGTTGAAGAGGCTTAATAGATTGTAACGCCTATCCATAAAGCATAAATGACGAGCGTAAAGTGCTTAAAAGTGTTCGTAAAAGTGCTCGACTCTGAAAACGTTATTTCAATAATACTAACAAAAGGCGGTATTTGTCACTTAAATGCAATGACAATGTGAACATTTGAATAAAATAATATTTCAGTTAAAATAACTTTAAATGACTTAAATTCTAATTTTTACATGTCATACAATATATATCCGTATTATATATAATAAATTCTATCTCTCGAATTGTATTTACCTTTGTGTTAATAATATTTCAACGAGATTGTCATAATAATGATGCAGTTTCTTTGGCATTTTAAAATTTATAAACTTAAATTCTTGTTTTTATGTAAGTGAATATTTTACATATATATTTATATAATAATAATTCATTTAAACAAAAATAAGAAGTTTAAGTTTATAAATTTTAAAATACTAAAGAAACTGTATTACATACGTGAAAAAATTCAGCGAATTGCTTTGTAAGCGACGCGTTTTAATGCAAATTACTTCCTGACTTACTCGCGATGTTCCGTAACGTCATGCAAGGACAATGATGAACTGACACCCGTGAATTAACACATTAGAGATATATCTGTAAACCGAGTAATTCGAGTATGCTCATTAATGTTGCTCGCGTGCTTGGTAGCCCAAAGTTATTCCATGTCCCGAAGCAGGTCATGCTCATGTAACCTTTCCGTACCGAAATGCGCACTGAAACGTTGTACTGCTCCACGCGATCCAATCTAAAGTCGAAGTGGTCAAAAAAGCTTCCTCGCGTGAACTGCTTGAAGCTTAATTATCTGTGGCGCTGTCAGTGTTAGTTGTCCAAAATTTTACAGTTTCTTGGACAGATTTTTCCCAATTGGGTTTATTATTCTCGAAAAATAATTCAAATGTATCATATTTGATTTACGTTATCCTAGTTATGAAAGGCATTAAATGTATATCAGATCAATTTGATTTAAACAATTCTTCTTTCATTTTAGAGAAGATTAAAAGAGACTATAGTTTCGCTTACAGTGTTCTACAATTAAATCTTGAATTTTATAAAAATTTAATAATATATTCTATTATATAGAATAAAATTGCTTCTGTCTGAACGAAATGTAACCATCTACGTATCTGTATAATTTCCTACCAAACGAGAACTATTAAAGCTTGATGAAGAGCTTTGTATGACTGTAGCTTTTTCCTCTTCTTCGTATTCTTCTTTATAATATAAACGGAAGGAAAAGCGTTTCGGTCGAATTCATCGGATATAAGCAAGGATTGCTCTGCTCCCATTGCGCGACGGTTTATACCTTTACATCGCGAAAATAACATAAACCTCAGCGGGTCGATTCGAGAATTGTCGAGGCGCGCTGGCGCGTCCGTCGAGAAACATCACGTCGCGTTATCGACCACCAGCCGAGGGTTTCAACGGGTCTGCCCACTGGCCAGGAAAAGCGACTTTAAGACGACTCGTAGAACAATAAAAGCACTCTCTCTTTCTCCTCCTACCTCCGTCGACGTTGCTGCCCTTCCGCTCCCCAGTGCGCCTCGCGTGACTTCCTGACCCGAGTCGACCGATCCCTTCGACCCCCTACGCGTGTGTATGTGTCTGAGGGCAACCTCCCTATGATAATTACGTACTTCGGAGCGGCGCGTGCCTCGGCAATTCGCTCACGCGGCCGATCACGTATGGCGTGACTATCCTCGACACCATAGGTAACTATCTCACCGTCTCCCTACCCCATTATCCAGTTTTGACTTTGCTTCCTTTAAAATATGTACGAAGAGATTGACGCGCGCGCGGAAGGTACAATTAGGATATCCCGATAATGAAAAGTTCGAAAGATGTCTAAAGTCGATCTAACCTTTTCAGCGCCCTTCAGATGTTCTTTAGATACCTAATCAGATTTTTGATGTAAAGACTTTCTTAAAAATTCAAGTACATGAAACGAATGATTTCGACAGAAATGTGTATGACAAAAATTATTGTATGATCTTAATTAAAATATTCACGTGGAATCAAATCATGTATGACTTCTTTCAGTCCAGAGCAAAGATTAAAGCTCTCTAAATAAATACATAATTTTTTGTGAATTTTAATAAAAACTGTAAACGCATGAATTTCCAAATTTATTGTTCAACTAATATTCCATCTGATTATAACACGTTTGGTTTTTCGAAGTGTCTACATTATTTCTTATAATTATTAATCCGATATAATTAATTAACAACGAATAACTAAATATTCTCCTTCTATCGCGATT